AAGGACAGAGCAACCAGCCTCAAAAATAAATCTAGTAGATCTCTTCTTGCCTCTTAAAAGAGTTGCTGGGAAGTTATGCTAACATGGCTGTCTTTTCTTGACGTGTTACCTGAATTCGTGACATGTTTAAAACTTCTGTCCAATTTGGTGTCCAGCCTTTCCAATTTGTGAGAAGGGCTTAAAAATCACAAATGGTTAAGAAACACAGTGTCATTTCCTTAGGGGCAGAATGAGTTGAATTCCTGCCCTGCTTTCTCTGAGCCTGAGCCAGCTTGACTGCAATAGGCAATGGAACGGCAAACCCTTCTCCTCTCCTCTCCTGCAACACAGTGGGCTGTTAACAGGAGGACACAGCTAAATGGCTTTGGCAAGGAATATTTGGGTGTTTCTCACAGCAGAACTGTTTGAAGGGCTGTGGATTGTTATGGGAGGCAGCTGGAGAGGCTCTTCCCCTGCATATTCCACATGGCAATGGGTCTTATTTGTTTGCTTCACTTTGTGAATCCCAGGATGTGGCTCTTGCAGTATATTCAATTGACAGTGAATTCCTGCCGGTCTCACTGTAGGACTGCAAGTTGAACATCATTGCTTTAGCATAAATCTTTACAAGAGATGTTAATGTCTGGTTAAAATATGCAAATATTTACTGACTTGTCTACTGTTTGTCAGCTTGGCATGCAAGACCTTGGATCTGATCCTTCTGTCTTGGCAGACATTGGGAATTTTGCCAATAACATTAATAGGAACAGTATTGTGCCCTCTAATATGTTTGTTTATGAAGTACGGTGAGAGTTATCTGGCTAGATGCTTTACAGTGAATTGAAAAAGCATCTGTTTGAAATTTTTTAGGAACTGTCACATGCTTTAACTTATCATTATCTTAATGTATGGACCCTTTGACTCCATAAAATACATCAGTAAGCGGTGAAGCATGAAAGTGCACAGTCATGAGTTAAACTGCTGTGAAACAGTAAAATTTTAGTTCATGATGTTCTCTCCTACTACATTGATTTTTAGTTTGAAGTTGGACTCATCAGGCTGTGAAGTAATTCTTCAAAAGCCTCCTGTTCACCAAGCAGGCATAGTGTTTACTTGAAAATAAATGACTGTGTAGATCACGTTGTTTATTGCTCTTTCTCCTCAAGCTGTCCCTTCTGCCTTTCCCAACCCCCTCTGCAGTGCTGGAGGGGAAATGTGCAGTTTTATTTGCAGATTAGATTTTTAGTTACTCTTTTCATGTTTGTTTACAAAATGCCTTTGGAAAGAAGGCGAAATACTCATTAGGAATATTGAGCCTGAAAATCATTAGTCGTAGGGGAAAAAAAAAATCACTCACAGTTCATTGAAAAAAACACCAAGGTTTAAGTTACAGCAGTTGGAACTAACCAGATCTTTTAAATGATATTTTGTGGAAGCTTAAGCTGAGCACAGCTTGGCCTTCAAAGAAATGTAAGATCAGGAAATTTTCTTCTGCTTAAAGGCAGGAGCTTTTTGAAGGTACAAGGTATAATACCAGGGCTAGATTTCTGGATTGGCCAGTGAGGAAGAGTTGTGTAAACTTCTGTCTGTGCTCTGGTCAACATGATGCTTACTGTCATATCAGGTGGAATTCACAGGCTTTGTGTTTAAGTATTTTACTGGAGTGCATAAATCGGAAACCTTTCTGTAGGCAGTGGTGCTGGTGTGAGATGATTCAACGCTAAGAAATACTTTGAATTTACCACTGATAATAAAGGCTCTGTTGATAAGACATTGTGCTTGTATTTCTAAGGTAGGTCCACCTATTTTAGATGTGTAATTTTAGATAATGGGAATATGCCTGTTTACTGTTTCTTCAAAATTTTGAAGATGCATTAAACTTTGCTATTAGAATAAATTTTTACTCAAATTTGACTTTAGAACTCTTCTGACATGTGGTTCTCCAGGCCATTTTGAGAAAATGAATAATCCTGACATTTGTTCTGTTACATGCTTAGTATTTTAATCTCAGTTTTACAGACAGAGAAATTGAAGTGGGTAAGTAATTTGTTCAGATTTGCAAAGGGAATTGGGAATACAATGCAGACCTTGTGACTCTTTAGCTTTCAATTCTAATCTGTAATAATTTCTACTCTTAGAGTGAATGTAGAAATTCCAGTTTTGCATTTGAAATTTTTGAAAATAAACATTTCTAGAACTCAAATTTCCTTTCACAACTGTCTCCATTCCTTGGCTGTTAAAATATTAACTATTCTGAAATAATTTTAAATATAGGTAGGTCGGGTAGTACAATAGACTACATTTTAAGAAAACATGGTTTTAGTTCACATTCACGTAATCTAGTCTCAGTTGCTAATTTAGGCGCAGCTCAGGGGACCAAAACTAGGAGCACGGGTTTTTAGAGTCGTCAGGAGGAGCCAAGTGCCTCCAAGGAACAGCTTAGAGCACCTGCATTGGAGGCTGAAGTGGGTGGTGCAAATACGCAATAAATGTGAGTGTTTGTGCCTGCATGTGTGGATATAAATGGAATTGAAATGAAATCTGAGGACCTGAGTCTACCATTTTCCATATGTTATCCACATGCTGGTTTTCTTTGTTATGATTAGATAATTTGTTTTAAACAAATTACACTGTAGCAGCTCCTTATCTATCACTGTGTCCCATGCGCTGTGACTTCAGTGAGTTTTTTAATTACACTCTGAAATAGTGATAGTGTGACTCAGTTTAGCCAGTTATCCAAACAGCCTGGTGCTGACTTGGCTCCACTTAACTTAATCCACGGGTTTTAGCTTAGGGTCAGAGGACTGAAGTGTGCTCTAAGTCTTCAAGTTGACCAAAGAAATTGTGTGGCCTTTGCAGTACAATTCGAGACTGTTGGGTGAGTAAAATCCAGCTTCTCCTCAAACAGACTAGTTCAATATTTATCAAAACAGCCAGCATAAGACAATTGATAAATGACATGTTTTTCTTTTACATGGTGCCATGTTGGAGAAGAGCTGGGTAACGTAGCTTTCAAATGCTTGCCAGTTCTGCTGGCCAGGTCAGTTAGGATGAGATCTGTGTGTAATCAGTTCTTCAGGAATAAACATACAGAAGCTCTGCTCAGACTTCTGGTCAAAGGAATTTTGGTTTATGTCAGCCAGGAAGTAAGGAAATCAAAAGTACAGCAGAGTTCATGAAATCCTCTCTTTTCAGTCCGTTAGGAGGAAAACAGAATGTACACGAGAAAAACGAAAATTAACTATTGTATTACTATTGAAGCACACCCTAGATTTGTAAAATTCACTGTGGCCTAAAATGTTAATGAAGTGGAAATCAATGTAATTTTTAGTTGTCTCTAGAAAGGATCCTTGTATAAACAGCTTAAGAATACCAAACATTTTTATGTATATAATTGAAAATATGTGCTTAAGTGATCCAGCTGCATGTCTTTTGTGTTAATAGAATTACTCTATGAATGAATTTACTCATAGGTATGGAAATGCAAAACCTACTTGCTTGTTCCTATTCAGATTGAAAAAGGGGATTTCTTTTTAACAGAAAAAGAAATATCTGGATGAATGAGGTAATATTTTGCAAGGTCATTATTAAGAAATAGATGTCTGTCACAGATTTGTATTAGGATAATGACAAAATATTCGTGCTTGTGTTCCTTCATTTTTGGGAAGATACATTGTTGTTCAAGAAAACTTTATGTAAACGTTATGAAATGGAAGGCGGTTTAAGTCAAAATTGTCTTGAAAAATTAATATTCCTTTATGTTTCTATATTGATACTGAAAATCAAATTATAAGAATGGAAGGCAACACATAAAACACTATGTTGTATTATATACGAAAAGTCTTGTTTACATTTCTACTGTATATTGGTTTAGGACTATGTTAATGAGAAAAGTGGGATAGTGAATTATTTTTCATATAAGGAAAATGCATTTATTTGACCTTCAGATTAACTTCTTGAAGTTACTTTACCTTAGTTTGGTTAAAAACCTAAAAATATCAAGTATAAAAGAAGATTTTAGCAGTGAAAGTGGGCTAAAGGTAGTTATTTGAGACAATCATAATATTTGTGATGATATATCAACTATTAATAGTATGCTTCTTGCTAGAAATGAAAATGAAAGCTCTTACTTTTTTTTCCTCTTTCAGTTATCAGAGCACATTTTTGTGAAGTAGTCAGCTTTAAAGTACAATGTCTCTAGGGATGTGTATCATATATTTAAATATTATCTCAACGAAGACAGAATGTAGACAGGGGTTATAGAAATACTTTGCTTTTCTACTGGTGGTTTAGATTGTGGATAACCATTTGTCTCAGTTTATTAGCAGATAGTGTTGTCTGTCTTGTATACAGATTTTTATCACAACTGTTTCAATTTTTTTCCCCTAAAAGTATTTACTTTAAAATTATTTAAGAAGTTCTGCATAAAAGTGTTGCTGTGGCAGGGGTATCTAGGCTTTCTCAGACATAAATGGAAATAAACCAAGAGAAGGAAGAGAGAAGCGGTTTCCTGTTGACCTCCAGTTCTTTCTCATTCATCCTTGTCCATCCACATTGTGCTTCACCCAGCTGGACAGAGTGGCTCCTTCCCCCGAGAGTGGGTGAGAAATGCTTTGAAGAGAAAGGTGTCTTGGAGTAAATGGCTGCAGGCTAGGAGGAAGAGCAATTGGTGCATGAGTTGCATTACTTCCAAAGCAAAGATCATGTTGCCAGTGAAGACCCAAAAGCCTCTATGTAGCAAAGTGCTTAAATCCATGCTGACTTTAAAATTTGAAACCACTGCTTATATTCATAAAGTCAGTCACAGGCTTAAATACCTTCTTAAATTAGAATCAAAACCGAGAGCTGGGAGTGATGGAGAAAAGACTGGGAAGAGGTTAGTTAGTGAGAAAGATTGGGATAGGAAATGCAAAGGGGACTTGATGCAACACCTTGAGATGGGAATGGAAGTTGGTTGGCAAATTGTCACTGCCATTATACAGCTAACCAACATTTTATCATTCCCTCTGCCCCCACTCTAGGATTTCTGTCCCTGAGTCATGGCAGACAGAAGACCAGAGAAGTCATGTGAACAAGCATGTGAATCTCTTAAGCAGCAGGATTATGAAGTGGCAGTGAAGCATTGCACAGAGGCTCTCCTTTCCCTCAGCCAGTACCCCCCAGCTCACCTCCCGGAGGCATGCCAGGCAGAAATCGACCGCATCAAAATCGAGACTCTTCTGTATAGAATTGCTTCCTTTTTACAACTTGTGAGTGTGACTCTTTAATAGTGTCTAGTGAACTGGAAAGAACAATCAAATATCTGTACCGTCAAGATTTAAATAAAATTCAGAGTTTTCCTGTGATTGGCATGTTGGTTTGCCATGGAATCCCTCTTGCTAAAGCATGTATGAGGCTTCTGTCTTGTAGTTTTCCCCGATCTGTTTATTTTTCAGGATTGAGACCTCTATGTAGTTTGGGTCTGAATCACAGTTCTCTAAAAGAATGAAGAAAAATACTCTCCCCCCCCCCCCCCACCTCTTTCACTTTAATTTTTAAATATATTCCAGGAAGGCAAAATACCTGGTTTTAAGGTATTGTGTTTTTACTGTTATGCTGAATTACATTTCAACTTACCTTATCTTTAAAGAGCATGAAATTAAGGTTGCACATCTAAACTCAAAAAGTTAAATGCCAGAATTCAGATGGCTAGTTCATACCTAATTTAGCTCCATATGCATAGGCCTAACATTCGTCTTTTAATACTTGATCATATACTAGTTTTCCATTGCAAGGCTAGAGCATATCTGGTGAAAGACGTACTTTTTAGGCTCTGGCAGATTTTTAATGGAAATGTGAAAACAAGGGTCTTTGTAAAGGTTTGTAAATGCAAGGCAAGAGGCATAACCCTGAATTACAGGTGATACCATTGCCAAATTTATGTCCTTCCTTTGAAGCATCAGAGGCCTACAGTTTCTTAAAGGAAAGGACATTACAATGCTTAAGGATAAAACTACAACCTGCTTAATGAAGCTACATTTTTTTCTTACCTTCCTGTTTTGGAACTGTTATTACAGATTTATAGGGGCCTTGTCCACCCCAAATCTTGATGTATTCGGTGTGAACAGTTTCATCCCAAGTGGAAGAAGTTTGGCCAAGTTGAAAGACCTTGGTGGGCAGCTCTGAGATAAATCTTGCCCATCTGATTAGGGGGCATTTTTAAGCATTCTTTAAATAGATAGCTGAATTGGACAGTGTGCAAAACAAGAACTGGAAAACTTCTTAAATTGAGATGTGACGTATCTTACGGCTCCTCAGGGGAAGAGATTCAGAAATAACTGAAGTGGTTTTTTTCAATGGAAGTTTTGTTACTACAGACTTGACTTCTCAAAATGATTTGCATAGGCCAGTATGCAGATAGGTGCTTAGCAGTATTTAATGCATTTCTGACCTGGCTGCCTTTGAAAATCCTGTGAGGCACCTATCTGAATGTTCATCATAGTGAAATTATTGCAGTAAGTCTACAGGGGTTTTGGAAACATAATCAAAACCTTCCTATCAAAGACTTGAATTATATACTTGAAGGCTTATAAGTTTAAAAAAAAAAAAAAAAGGAACAATCCAAATTTTCCTTGTGGTTTTACTAAACAAAATAATTTTTAAAACCACCACTGATAAGATAGAGGAAAATAAAATACATACCTTACAAATTTCAACAGCTCCATATTAATGCAAGTTTTTTTTTAAAAAAAATTACGGTGAGTAGAAAAGAAAGTTAAGTTTTGGTATTTTTTCTGAGGTGGTGTGAGCCACCTGCAAACACATATAAAACCTATACCTTTGCCCACTCGTGTTCTTCTTTTAAAATGTCCATTTGCTGAGAATTTGAGAAAAAGTTGGCATTCTAAGAATTAATTATATTATATTTGACATGTGACTGAAGTTCTTTACATGTTCCACTCAGGAAAAAAGGAGGTAATGGATTCTAAAAAGTTTTAAGAAACTTGTAATTCAAGCGTGTAGTTGTTTATGCTAACTGGAATAATGCTATTTTTAAACTTTTCATGTTTTACCTTTCAGAAAAAGTATGGGCAAGCAGATGAAGACTGTAGGCATGGTATGCTTATTTCTTTTTTTATTACATAGTGTTATAAATTGCAGTCAGTTGTCTGAATTTTTAAAACTGATGCCCAGATTTGTTAGTTTGCTAACAGTGTTTTTTTTCCTAGTTAAAATTATGTAAATTGTGTATCTGCTTTATGATACTTTTTCTACTTTTTTTTTTTTTTTTTTAAGCAAGATCTCACTATTTTGTAACTCGTATTCAAGTACCAGAGTTCAAATGCATGTCTTTGGCACAGCGGTGCTACTTGGCTAATAGATACTTAGTATACAAATGTAGGATGAATTGATAGTGTTAGGATTCTTGTGAAGATAAAGACAGCTGATTGTTCCGTCTTTCGTCCTAGGGACATCGTCGATATTTTCTTTTGCATTTTGGGACTTGATTCAGAGAAAGTCATCCTCCTGTACTTACATTTATTCCTATTTGTTAAAGCTTGCAAATGTGCTTATGTCACACTGAAGTTGAGCCTTTCATGTTTCACTGCCTTGTTCAGTTCGGGTATTTTTAAGGGAGTTGACCATCCTTCCTAATGTTCTGTTATTCATGTATAATGCAAATAATTCAAAACTCACTGAGAACTCTTTGTTGAGTTTGGTAAGTGTTGGAACAGAGTTTATCAGTTAGATTTGGAAAGAAAAGGTGGGTAGATCCCACCTTTCAGTTTTTAATTCCTTAACTACTCTTGAATTTTAAAGGAAATTTCCTCAGACCAGAGTTTTGTTACACAGACTCTGTGATACACTATTGTGACATTCCTGTGCTAGCAGTGAAAGTCTTTAAATAATTCCTTTCTGGTTTTGTGTGTGGGGTTTTTTGTTGTTGGTTGGTTTGTTTGTTTAAATGCATTTGTCTTCACTGATACTCAAGTTATAGCCTGGGGAATTTGTGGGGCTGTGCAGCCTGCTTGTGAAGGTCCACAAAACATAACTAAGAAAAGTAAACTTGCTTTCTGTAGGTGTAAAATTAAAGTTTAACAAATTTTAAAAGGCTGAACATTGCTAAATCTGTACTGTTCTTAAAATAGTCTGGATTTTTTTTTTAAAGCTGATTCTTTTATCTGTTGATGTATGCCAAGGGTGTAATATTCTGACTAACCTCACAGTTATCTTTTATGATGGCAAATAAAAGCAAGAGATAGATATGAAAAGATGAATGATGGTTAAAGGAGGTAGGAGGGAGAATGCTGTTTAATGAGTAGCATTCTCATTGGTGAGATCTGATGGATTTGTTATAGGGGTAGATGGGTGACACTCATCTGTGAAACCTTTTCTTGGCATATGTGTCAGTTATCAGTACCTCAGAGGAACTGTCATGTTAACTATTTTTCTTCTCTCACTGAATGGGCATAGAAGTGGGTGAAATACAGAAGCTCATCTCTACTTTTTTTTTTTAATCAAGTAGAGAAAACAGCTTTAAAATGTACATTAGTAACAAAGAAGTAGCATCCAGTTTAATGTTAATTTCCTTAATTCATGCCAGCATGTTCTGCAAATAATTTTTCCAGATCTGAAACTTGAGGACACTTTTGAACTTACTAATGCCATATTTATGTATGTATACAAAAATAGTGTATGAGTGTATATATCTGTATACACACACACTGTATTTTTATGAATATATGAATGAACTATTTGGTTGTGGTTCCCTGTGATGTGCTATTATCAATTGTAGCCCAGCATCTGACAATTTAGAGTATCTGCATTTATGATCCTGAAAGGTCTTAGTTTTAGTTTTATGTTTGAAATATCCTTGGAAAGAAATAACCATAGTATGGAGTACCTGATACTCTCACTTCCTTGATACTCAGGATTTTTTTTAATAGACAAAGTTTTATTCAAGCTGCTGTTCTGTCTTTTTACAAGACTTGACACGCTGCATGCCTATGACTGTTTTGTTTTAACCGGAATGATAAGCACATTTTGGAATAGCTGGAGAAATCTGTGTTCTTTATAGTATGTTGCCTGCACTGTTACAAGGAAAGATGATAATTTACAATCCATTAAATTCTTCCAGAAATCTTTACCAAAAGGTACTGGTTAATGTGTTGTAACTTTTTATGTGCAACTGTATGTTTTAGCTTGGTGATACTATGCAGTTAATGATATGAAATATTGTAATTGGATGTCTCATCTTTGAGGTTAAAGTAGCAAACTGTCAGACATGTTAAAGCTATTTCTGGTGCTGCTGCTTCTGATTTGGGAAGTAAGCTCTATTTTTGGAAATCCGGTCAGTATCATCAGTGGTGAATTCAGACTACTCCTTGAGGCACTTTATAAACAAAATTTAGTTACCATTTCATTTTGAAGAGATGTCTAGTTGTTTTTATGTAAATGTTTTGTGGGACTATTTTTTCTTTACTCTTTCATGCAATTTCTTTTAACAATGTGAACGTCTGTTGAGTGGGAAGTTTTGATTTATTATTCTAAAATGTAATCCTGAAGCTGTGGTGAATGAAAAATTCCTGTTAGCACTAACAGGAGCTGTTTGCATCTGCATGAGTAGCAGTATAAACACAGATGTTGATGTTGCCTGCAATAACAGTAATATATATTATAATTCCATAGTTTTAAGCAACTGTCCAGCCTTCTTTTCAACTCACATGCTTAGCTTACTAGCTTTTTAGTCACTCTGGCATTTTGTTTTCTGGACAGGTAATACATACAATTAAGTGTTATTCCTGCTTGTCTGAAGCACGTCTATATCGTGAAATAAATCCTTTCAGTATTGGAAGTGTCAATGAAAGTGTCTGTTTGGCTAGCTATCTGATCCAGTGCTAGAAAGCATTAGGAAAGTTTTCTGTTACATGAAGCCTGTAAATTTCTGGACTCAAACAATCGTTCCTATATCCTACACTTTACAGCATAAGTGAATAAAAGCCTTTTTAAAGTAGCAGGAATTGACCACAAGGAGGTTAGCTATATTTGGAAACGACAGGGCATGCTTTTTGTGAGCATGAATGGATCTTCCTGAGCATGTTTGTGTTACTGAGAGGTTGTTGGTTGCTTTTTTTTTTTACCCTTTCTGTGAAGAGGAGGTCCTTTGTGTCTGTGTCAAATATTTGAATTTGCCCTTCCCATATTTAATTTTTGTCTGTTTTAGCATGTAAACTTTACAACCTTTTTTTGAGCTCATGTACAGCATTTCTTAGATGGTGAGGGACAAGTTTCAAGTTAATATTAGACAAGAGCAAGTAATACTTCCTTTACATCCAAGACTTGTCTTTCCAAGAAACCATGGATTCAACCCGAGTTTCAGACTTTATTTTCATATTAAAGGTGAAGGAAAACTGTATGTAGTTTGTTTAAATGTATACTGTGATGAAGCTAATAGTTGCTGATTTGTGTTGCAGTGCTGGGAGAGGGGCTGGCCAAGGGAGATGGATCTTTCCGTGCAGTGCTCTGCTGCATGCATCTTAAAGGGAAGCTGCAAATTGTGTCTAATGTTCTTTCCAAATCACTGATGGGTGAATCACTGGTAAGTGGGTTTGCTGCAATCTGCGTAATTTACAAAGCAGTTTTGTGTTTCTTTTTTTTAAAAAATGTGTTTAATAACACACTCTTGAGTATATGTTGGACTGGCACGTGCAACAAAAATGATTTGTATGAAAAAGACAAAGATAAATATATGGACACACATATGTCATCAGGATACCTAGGTTGTTGCATTACCATTGTTACAGAATTGTTACAATTTTGAAAAGTTTTTTCGTGTTGGCTCTGAATCCTCAGGGAATATAATTTGCATATTTGTGCAACTAGAATAATGTAAATCTCAAACTTTTGCTTACTTTTTTTAAGTTGCACCTGACATCATTTTGTATGTACTTCAGGAACTTTAGCGATTAAAGCAGAAAAATTATTGATAGGACTTTTAAATAACTGGCCCATGATAAGTTGTAAGACAGCATGAAAAGGTTTCCAGGAGAAAAAAAAAAAGCTTTGCGTTTCAAGATGAAGGTAAAGGTTTGAGTTCAAAGCTTCTATTTTACCCTTGAACTGTCAGAACTTGTACAGGTGGTTTTGACCCCATACATGTAGGTAGCTGTTCTGACTCTTATGTAACTACTCATATGGGGAAAATTAGGGACATATAAAAGTCTTGAAAGGATAGTATCCTTTTTAATTCTGTAATCTAGGTTAAATAGCATGCAGTTCATCACTGTGAACTGCTGGTGATGCTAAATCCAGAAACACGGTCATAGCACAGACAAAAGCAGCTCTAGTCAGACCATGAGGAACATGTAAGTGACATCAGAAACTGTTGTAGGAGAGCCTATTACCTTGAAATTGCATCATGTCTCTGTATCTTGGTGCTTAACTGAATCAGTAGGTTGTTTTTGAGAGGGAGTCCTGTTTGTCTGTCTGGTATATATCCTGAATTCCCTTCCCCCTTGCCATTGGTTATTTTTGCATAAAGAAAGGGCTTTCTTTGTTTAGCTGGTGTTTTCTAATGAAAAAATGTTTCATTGAAAAAATCCTGGTAAGGTCGAAGGAAACTTGCCTTCAGGAAAAATTAGTAAAATAGCCAAAAGCTTCTTAAAGCAGGAAATGTACAGTGCCCTTGATTTGAGCTATTGTGGTGCAAATAAAGGTAGCTTTGCATATAATTCCAGTGTCATCCCAAAGCAGAGTTTGAGAGGTTTTTACAAGCTTTAGGTTGTTAGACATAGTTGTTTTCAGTAGGAATATCAAAATCAGCAACTGATTTACTGACTTGTGCCATTGTCTGAGAGAAGAAACAAAACAAAGTTTTGGAATTAATTTATTGAAGAGTTAGAATCTATCCCGTTTCCTCCCCAGTGACTTAAGGGAATGATTCTTGGTAACATTTTTATGCTCTACTACGTTTAAATTCAACAGGTTCAATTTGCAGCCTTCTGCTGAAGAAGTGAAAGATCATTTTGAAAAAAGTCTTAAGTGTGAGAATTGTTAAGTGTGTAAGTTTTCAGCAAAGAGACTAATGTCTGCTGCTCAGTAGCACAGTCAAAATGTGGAGAAGTCTAACAAATGTAGTAGCACTTAATTAAATCTCTGCAAGAGATTATTGAAACAAAAAACACGGGTCTGGTTTCCTTTAATCAAAATCTTGACTTACATGGGTGTGAAATTGTTACACTTAGCTATATATTTCAGATAAGTAAAAATCTTTCAAAATTGAATTTCAATTGTACTTGAATGTGCAGTTATTTTTAGTTACATGGCTAATTTTGCTTTTTAGTGAAAACTCAAAAAATTAAGTAGTCTACAACAGAGCAGAAAGAGTTATGAAACTGTAGAAATCAGTAATCTGTAAAGTAGATCCTTAAGAAGAAATGAATCCATACTTGTAACAGCAGTGAAAGTTTATTATATTAATTCCTTTAAAGCTGAAGTATTTCAGTAACCATAGCATATGGTTCATGTATAGTGCTTTTTATCCGTAGCTTACAAAGTACTCTGTGAAGACAGTCGGTATCACTGTCCCCATTTTGCAGACGGGAAAGTGAGGCATGGAGAGGTGAAGTGACTTGCCTGAGGTCACCCAGCAGGCCAGTAGCCAAGCTGATAATACAGCATAGATCTCTTGAGTCCTTGTCTGTTGAGCTATGCTGCCTCCATGGCTACTGTGCATGTAGGGTACTGTTTGGGAGGATAGCAATCGATAAGTATTGTAGCTATTAATATTTGTCTTGAGTGGCAGCTAAACTTTGTAAGAATTCTGCCCCCTCCCCCAAGTTGTTCTACATATGCTGTTATCCTGTGTTGTCCTGTATCGATAATTGCTCTAAGTCTAGTGCTGGTTTTGGCCAGTGTATAATTCCCTTTTTCACCGTAAAACTTGCTCAGTATTATGTAGTATGTCATTTAAAATTGTGCTTTGTAAGTCATACTCATTTTTACTTCTTGCCCTTCTCCTAGGTGGTGATGTGGGGGGAAGTGAACTTAGTTGCTGTGGTTTAATGCATGTGAAGGTTTATGTGTTTGATGTATTGATATTCTTTCTTCCCCCAGAACGGGATGGTAACTAAAGATCTGACACGACTGAAAACACTTCTTGCTGAAACAGAGGTAATAATGAGCATATTATTATGAAAATAATGAGCAGTACCTGAAACAACTGAAAGGCTGGTTTTCATGTGTCCCAGGAGATCTGGGCTCACTATGAACATTCTGGTTCAAACATTATCGTTTCCACTGGTCTGTCGGTCTTTACCACCTACCTATTCAGAAGCCTTTCATCACAATCTTGCATGATGTATGAGAAAATAGAGAAAGATGCTAATAGGTTGTTGACGCTCTTGAAGTAGCTAGTAGAAAGGATTCAAAGCATTTAGACCTGTGTTATTTTATTTATGTTTTTTTCTCTATTGGAAATGATTCTGAACTAATAAACATGACTTAAGAAATTGGTTAACAAATACAAAGGCCCTCTCAGTCACCTTTTCTGTATTAGAAGTTAATCTGTCATGTCTATTGATTAAATTGCCACTTTTTTTTCTTATGCTTTGATTTGGGCTTTATTTTTAGCATAGATTCAAAGCTGAAAGACATCTCAATACAGTTTAGACTTTTGGCCTTCTAAAAACTTCACTGCAATCCATGTTAAAATGATCACAGGGTGGAATTTGGTCTTGTAAAAGTATCTAAAATTCTCTTCTAACAATGAGTGGACTCAGTGTTCCTATCAGAATTCCTTTTTTCAATGGCTGCAATCCAGTTGTTAGGTTAATGTGAAATTCATGTTTGTGACTGCAAGTGGTTTCAGACTTCTGATTAATATTATTGTATTGGTGGTTCTAAAACATATTTTGACAGCAAAGAAGCCAAAGCAGTTCTTGTTGATGAAATTGTTTTGTGTTCCTTTAACTATGGGGTTTTTTATGTAATTGTAGGCAGCTGGTAAAGTACCATCAGGATATCATGTAGAAGATTTAGAAGAAGGTATGTAACTGGATTCTAAAACGACTTAATTTTGTAGTGAGAAGACTTAGGTTCTGATGAATGCTCAGTACTGTGTAGTAGTCAAAAAGCAAAAAAAGGGACTTGACTATCGTGATGAGCCCCAGGGTCTGAGGTAGAATTATCTCATCATTGACTGAATTTGAAGGCAGAAGTTTGTATTTATTGGCCAAAGTGCTGTACTGGAGCCTGCTCCATTCTGCAAATTGTTTGAAACTTGCCTTTGTAACTTTTGGACCTTTGTTCTAAATGAATTTGTTAGGCATTGAAAATGAATTTTTAGTGGATAATTTTGCTTGTGTACAAATATATTTGAGTTGATGTTTAGAGATACTGTCCCCTGGACAGTTACCATCCAACTCAGAAATACTTGGCAATTAGAAAAGTAACCTAAGTTTTGACTACTCTGCAGGGTCCCGAGATGGCTGGCAGTTCCGCCCTCCACCCAGGGGAGTCACAAGCAGTGAAGAATATACGTTATGTAAAAGGTAAAGTTATTGCTTTATATCAACATTATCCAAGGGATCAAGACTTTTCCTCTTTTATTTAGCTGCTGACAGAATGATTAAGAGGTCAGGAAAATGAAGGTACTTCTTAGAACAGGAGTTGATTCATTCACAGATTTTTGGAAGGGTCAGTTTATCTAGAAGCACTTCAGTTTATAAAATAGAATCACTAGCTCTGTTTTCATAAAAGAGTGGTTTGACGACCATTTTTTCTAGTGACAGGTCCGCATCTGTCTTTTTCACCTACGTTTTCTAATTTGTGTAATTTCAGAGATGTGGAAAGTTCCCACAGACAAGAGTGTTAGCAAACTGAAGCACAGTGAGGTGTACTTTGACAGCAGATAGGGTGCATGCCTTCAGATAAATGGGCTTTGTTGATAGATGGGCTTTGTCTTTGAATTAAAAAAAACGTTTGTAGAATTTCCCTGCGGATCTCATTATTTTCATTTTGCTTAAGCTCAGATACACAGAGGTGAATTGCCTTGCTGAAGATCCAATGGCTTGTATTGGAGTTTCTCCTCCTTGTCTTTTTCAGTTGTCTACTCAATGTTGCCTGTAGTTTGTGTTGTTAATTGTTATTACTTAGTAAAACTGTATTAATATATATGGGAAGAATCCATCATTATGCACATGATTCTGCCATGTATGTAACTGATGGAAATAAATTATTTTAAAAACAGGAGCAAGAATCTGACCTGCTTTTAAAATTACATGACTGAACCACTGAATTTGGGCTACTTTTGGCATGATTTTCTAGAGACGCTAAATCTTGGCAACTCTTGTTGACTTTTATCATATCTGGTGCATATTCAGCGATTTTAAAAAACCTGATATTTACAGTTTTTAGCTCATGGTGATTTTCAGTTGAGTAACATCTATACCATATTTCCAACCATTGCTCTGAAACGTTTTTCCACTAAAGCTATAATTAGCTTTATGCACAGTGTTAACCCTTACAGTGAGAAGGATGTGCCTTGCTCGGCAAATCTATATGAACAGTATCATTCTGACCATGGACTAAAGATTTTAATTCCTTATGAGGAGACAGTTACAGGTACTGAATACAAATTTTTGAAGCTGTGGTTTATTTTTCCCCTGTGTGCCATAAAGCAGTAGGAGTACAGCATATTTATTCTAGATAATGAAGCTATGGGATTGCAGGAGGTATTAAATAAGAAACTGAAAATGAGGAAAAAAAAGTCTCTTAAAAAATATGAACAATGAGAACGTAGAAAACTTGCATAATGATGACAAAGTTTAAAGTAATATGCTTTTCTATTAAATAATGAAAATGAAAACCACTTGATTTTAAATCTGTAGCTAATAAGAACAGGTCAACAATTTTTTTATGCTTGCAGTCCATTTACTTTGGGCCATGAAAATCATAATTGTACTTTAGCATTTTAATACGATGGTGAATTGGAAAAATTAAAATAAAAATATTGAAACTAATTGCCAAGAAGAATAATTTAAAATGTATTAAGGAACATAGTTTGAGAACATCTTTAGTAACATCATGATATATATCATGCTTATTTTGTTTACAATTTGGGCATGCAAACCTTTGAAGACTTAAACTTTTCTTAATGGAAAAGTGTATGCTAAATCAAATTATAACCACAGATACAAGTGTAGCCTAGATATCCAGGTACTTATGCTGCAAGGTTTTCATGTCATCGTCAGGTGTTATTTGTTTTTGTCGCATAGCTCACAGTTCACATTTTAATTCATGTTACATTACAGAATACATTTACTATGGAAAGGTTATCCAGTCAGTGATCCCATTCTGCTGTCTTCGTCAATGATGTGGGGTCCTGACTTGCTGTACTAATTTAGTCTCGGTGCATCTTTTCTTTTTTACAGTAGCTCATTGCTGTAGGAAGAGATTCTTAATATAAGTATATACATAGATATCGATATGAAATTCAAATATAGTTATGCTTATTACAGAGTTTCTGTAAACTTAATATCCTGACAGAGATCAGCCTGCCTGGCTTTATTGATAATAAATGTGATGCTTACATTAACTCTTTGTAGTCTCCTTATGCAAAACAAACAAACAAAACAGCCTTCTGACCTGATGTTTATTCTGTATATCCAGTACTTTCTTAGTACCTTCAGAACTTACCCCCCCTCCATTTTATTCTTCATTTTGTCATCTATTTTTAATGCTTCAGTTTTGAAGAATGATAAAGGTGTAGCTACTGCCTTGTGTTTTATAATTTTAATACAAAGTTTAATTATAAAAATAGTTCTCAAGTTATACGGGCATTTGCCCAGACTTGAAATAAATTCTGAGAACTGGAATGCTTAAATTTGTATACAGGTGTTTGGCATATAATTAATTTTGCTGCAACAGCACATTCCATTAAATGAAGAATGTAGTTCTTTAACAAATCCTTAATGTCTGCAAAAATAGATCCTTTTAGACTGATACAGACTTTAAAAGAAGATTCAACCTTTTCCTTGGGAGATGATTTCTGTGTAGGTGTATTTAGTGGAAAGGACCATGTGATGTCACTGTTGCTCCAGGAAAAGCTGCTGAATGAGTATTTATCAGCTAAAAACATAACTATTGGAGGAAATTATGCTCTATCTTCCCTTTGCCCCTGATTAACAGTGTTTTATTCATATTAATACAATGCCTAGTCATTTCAGGGTTGGTCCATGATCTCATTGTGTTAGTTGCTGTACAAACACTTGATTCTTTCTTCTTTGAAGCTGGAAATTTCTTCAGAAGACTTCTGTCCCCCTGTGTTTCAAAGAAATTTGATGTATTTTTGTGGACTTTGCAGTAAGAGAGGCTGCTGCCTCTCTTACAAAATGCTGCATACATGTATATATTTCCAAATTAGTTCACGTGGACTAAACTGCCTCTGGTTCTGCAAGAGAGACTTAAAGAATGTCCTTCTGGATTTAGAAGTAAAATTTTGATAAATTTCTGTTTTTAATTGGAGACTGAAAAGTTCAAGGCATAATCGTTTTTCCTATTTTATGTAGATTTTTAGAGCAAGGGATCTGCAGGTACGGTGCACAGTGTACTTCAGCACATTCCCAGGAAGAGCTAACAGAATGGCAAAAAAGATATGCTTCTCGCTTGATCAGATTAAAACAGCAGAAGGAAAACAAACAGTGTTCGGGCAGTTATATGGAAACCTTGATTGAGAAATGGATGAATTCGTTATCTCCTGAGAAAGTGGTAAGGAATATATACTACTTCCCTATGTACTCATATTTAAAACTAACAGATGAGCCTGTTTTTGGCCCTTACTATCAGAGCTGGTTGAATTACTCCTTACCAAGAAATTGTCCAACCAATTTGTTCTCCTTTCCATCCTGCCCTATGTCTTCTTGCAAAGATACCAGAGACTTAGACTGATTTCTGCAAATATACTCATTCTTTTTAAGAATTCGGTAGAGTTTGTGAATTACAGCTTGTGGGTTAATCACAGCTTGTTCATTTTGCATATTTACTATTCCCAGTGCAGGATGGGTCAGCCAAGTCTGATGGTATTGTTCCTGTTCCTTGACTAGATGGTAGAACTTTTTTGATGGGTCAGCCAAGTCTGATGGTATTGTTTCTGTTCCTTGACTAGATGGCAGAACTTTTAAACTGGAGAACAATAAATGGTCAAACTTTCATGACTTAGTGGAGAATACTCTCATTTGTGCATGGCTCCTTTTCTTTGCCTGCAGCTGCAGGCACTTGTATGAAGAACAGCCAATCCCCCAAATGTTCAAAAAAGTTTGAGTACTAGAGAGTGTGGAGTATAGATATGAGGAACAGCCAATCCCCCAAATGTTCAAAAAGTTTGAGTACTGGAGAGTGCGGAGTATGGATATGAGCAAACTTAGCAGCTGTTTGGAATTCCAAAGAACGTTTTTGTGGCATTCGACCAGCTCTACTTACCACTGACCCTAAGGAGTTTTCGGTCCATCTATTGCTGATTAAAATCTGGGAAGACTGGACTTTCTGCAAAATGCATTAATGAGTAAAAAGCCTAATTCTAGTTTCCTGGTGTCTCTAGTAGTCTCACTGATGTCAGTGAGATCTAGGGTTTTCTGGAAATGCAGTCTTTGGGCCTCATTGTATCAGATCCTTCTTTCCAAACAAAATTGTGTTCTACTTTAAACATTTACAATTAAGTTGGTTTTTGAAAATCAAGTCCTGCAGTTAATTGTCCTTAAATGGTTATATTCTTCACTTACACAGTATGATCTAGTAGATTTGGCTTGCTTGTCTCTCTGAATTAGCACACATTGTCATTAATTTGTATGCAGGACTTGCATCAATCCTGCATAGTCTAGGACACCATTCTTTCCACTTTCTGTTAAAAAATACTACCTTTTCTGGAATGTTTTTATTTTGATACTGCCTATAGAAGTTTAATGTTATCTTCTTTTTCTTTTAATCTAGCTTAGTGAATGTGTAGAAGGAGTGAGAGTTGAACATAATCCTGAGCTATCGGTAACTGTCACCACCAAAAAGTCTCATCAGACATGGACATTTGCTCTCACTTGTAAGGTAGGACTACTTGTCTTTTGAAAGTGAGTCAATAACTAGAATGCAGCCCATAACCTTTTGCAATTAAGATTTCAATTGCATAATTCTTTTTAAAATAGAGAAACTTCCTAGTACCATCCCTTTTCTCTCTCTTTTCCCAGTAGATCTGGTGATTATGTATCTACTGCCCAGATTTCTGGAAAGCAGGCAGGGCTTATATCTGCTCTGAGAAGTTGAGAGTTCTTATAAGTTTTCATTATCTGATTGCAAATGAAGATAGTCCTGAAATAATTTCGGTTTTCCAACATACTGTTATTTCAACCTTTGCTTTTTGGTTTTTTATAGCCTGCAAGAATGCTGTATCGAGTGGCATTACTTTATGATGCCCATCGTCCACATTTCAGTATCGTTGCAATATCTGCTGGAGACAGCAATACCCAGGTATCACAAGAAGTTCCAGAAAACTGTCAGGAGTGGATAGGAGGAAAGATGGTCCAGAACGGAATAGATCATTATATATACAAAGTCAGTATAGCCTTTAACACAGAAATCTTTGGAACTTTTCGCCAAACTGTTGTCTTTGACTTTGGATTAGAACCGGTCCTCATGCAACGAGTAATGATTGATGCTGCTTCAACTGAAGGTAATGTATTAAATTTTTTTTTTTTGAATAGTGGAAATCTTTCATGCTATCTCTATACTTTTCACATTTCTGGGCAGAACAGCATCTATATTAACAGCTAATGAATGTCTTTTGCTGAATGTTATGTTCTTCGTATATACGAATACAAATAGTGGACAAAAGCTTCAGAAGGTCTAAATAAGGCAGAAAACTGGATTATGACTACTACTCTCTGTCAGGATATGGCTCTGAAATCTTGTCAAAATGCTGGGAATTTCTAGTTTGGTATGTGTCTGAAGGCAGTACTGGAAGTTAAAGTATGTTTATGTTTTCATAATTGTTCTTGTATTGATGAAAACGTTAAAACACATAGGAAAAGGTCAGTAGAGAGATGAAGTGTTTCTGTATAAGAATATACCTGATAATTCAGTTATTATTTAAAGCAGACTATCTGAGAGGTTGGATTTTTTTTTTTCCTCACCCTGTAATATCTGACTAGGTTGTCAAAGGCAAGAGGCAAAGTATAGGCTTTTAACTCAATGAATTGCTATTGACATGAATTTTGAAAATGTAAAGAAAGTGTAACTATATTTTTGTGTGTGTTCAAGTAAAAAAACCCCAAAATTAACTATATGTTACTGTAAGGGTTGTATTCTCTTTATGAAACTGATCTGTGCCTATCGGTTCAAATCTGAAATAACACCATTATCAGAAAGATGTCAACAAATTGAAAGATTTTTGAAGAGGTGCAAAAAAGAAGGAAGCGCTTTGATTTACGGTTAAAAGATTAAAAGAGCTAAATATAGGTCACTGTGTCACTTGGCAGCAAGCAAGGGGGTGGGATAGAGTATGATAATTTTTTATGAAAATTTCAGAGATACTAACACCAAAGAAACAGAATTGTAGTACTGGGATGTAAGCAAGAAGAAGAAGAGAAAGGAAAAAGGAGGAAAAAAAAAAGATAAAACTAAGAAAACAACAGTTTTCTGTTCCTGGCCTGTATTTTCAGATAACAGGTTAACATTTGCAACATTAACAAAAAGAAACTGTAAATAGCAAATACCAAAGATCATGAATGGATCTTTCCAGATGACTCAAGTAGTTGTAGCCAAGAGCAGGAAGACTATACAAGTTGTAATGTCTCTTGAAGCAGAGAATATTGCATTGCGAATGAGAAACTGCTTAGAAGCAAGGCTGTGGTCTTTTCAGGAGCTATTCTATGATCTCCATGTAACAATGTGGGTAATCACAGCTGACAGGCCTCCTACCACATTGAGTTTGTGGGGAACAGGTGTCCTTTTATTGTAAACCTCTTTAAGATCAAGAAAACCAAGTCGTAACTTGCAAAGTTGGAGTTACTGTCAAACCAGTCTATGGTCTGGGTCCTTGTTGGCTTTAACTAACTACTTACCAAAGTGATACAAGGAATAGCCAATTCAAGTCCATGTGAAAGTGATGGATGAAGTGGAGATAGCACTCTCTAGCATCAGTTACTGATACTTCGTTTTCATATGTTGCTTGTCTGTGTGCAGAAGGATACTGAAGTCTTCAAGCAGGTTGTTACTAAGGATTTATGTCAAATGAAGAGTGCTAGTTGCTTTACAGATAAACATAAGTACAATGTCCTGGGCTTTTTGCTAAGGTAATCTAAGAAGTGTGTAAGCAGGCAAGCGAAAGGGATAACTATGTTGGATGTGTGTCTGATTCCATTGTTTCTTTTACTTTTGTTATATATGAATTGGGATCTCATGGAAGTGCTTTTCAAACAGAAAGATGCCCAAGGTCCCTACATTGCTTGTAATTCAGGGCCCTGTCTGGGTATCTAGGCAGGAAAGAAAGGTCAACTTTAAAATATTTTAATGGAGGAGCCTCCATTATGCATTTTGAAATCTTTATTTGCTGTGGAAAAAGAGAACCAAGAGAAATTTTCTGTGCACTGGGAATGTACAAAATGCTCTTTAAGAAAGGGTCACCATATGTCCAGTTTGTGACTTGAACGGTTTATGTCAGGCTTCCAGTGGAATCCTCTGTAGTGCTGGGAATTATATGGCTATCTTTCTAGCAAACAAGGACTCAATCCCAGCATAATTACTAAGCTTTTGGGATCTGAGGTATGGTTACTACCAGAGAAAGCTTCATTTGTGGTGGGATGATTTCAAACACAGAAGACACACAAACGTGGACTTTTTCTTGCCGTACAACTGTAGCGACTGATATGGTTCAGGCTCAAGGTAGATATTTAATGTGGTTTCTTAGTGAACATATGAGATGAGCGAGTAAGATAAGCTACATTCCTGTAGTCATAGTTGAGCTGAACTGAGATTTCTTTTGCTAAAAAGCTGTTTTCCTTCTATTTAGAATAAAGACAGTCAAGCTGATGTTAAGTATTTAATTTGAATTTTAAAATGTCTTTTTTTGCACATTTTTCTGTGTTGGTGTGATATCCTGGATACCTATCTTAAATCTTACTCAGAGATAATACATTAGGATATCATAGCTTCACTATAAATGCCAAATATTTTCAGCTCTTCAATTTAACTGCAATTCTGTTAATCGATGCACTGTTGTCATAGTGTTTGTGTGGTGTTAATGGATATATTTTGGGTGGCTGTAGACAGTGGCTAGTCTTCTGTTTCTCATTTAAGCTCTGTGGTCCCTCAAATTAGGGTATACTAAAAAATTAATTTCCTTTTAATTTTCTGTTAGGTTACATTTCCAAAATTTTGCCTAGCCAGCAAGTTTAGCTATATAATGCAACTGTCTGCAGAATACACGTATTATAGTATTTTAGAATTTTTCTGAAGGATTTCAGAGTGTTACAAATTTAATGATTTCTTACCAGTTAATTTATCAACTTGTTTTTATCACCTTCTAAATTTTATAATATATATGATAAGGTTCTTCACTACTTCGTATTTTTGAAAAGAGGTGATGTTGCAGTTAGGGTTTGAAAGCATATTGCAATGCCAAGTCCTTCAAAGTTGCTTGTGATTATTAAAATAAAAGTGCTTTCCTGGTTTGTGTGTATTAATTCTATTTGTTATCTATAGAATATTTTATTTTCTGATATTGTTTGAGAGCCTGCTTTCTCTCTGTGTACAGCTGAAAAGTAGGTATGGTAAGGACTAGCAATAAACTTACTAAAGCAGTTGTAGGCAGAGGAGGGTCTTACCTATGTTTCATTTGTTATCTCTAATGGGATTATTTTTAGTAATGTGTTTTGGTTTTGTGTTTTTTTTAAATAAAAAACAAACGCATATTGAGTTTGAACTTACTTCCTTTCCCTATTATGTATCTACATCCAGATCTTGAATACCTGATGCATGCACGGCAACAGCTACTAACCACAGCTAAGCGCTGGGATTCTACTTCTAAGACTATTGTAGAATTTGAGCCTAATGAAACTACTGAATTGGAGAAGAGCCTTCTTACTAGATACCAAATCCCTCTGTCTGCTGACCAGCTATTTACACAATCTGTCCTGGACAAATCACTGACCAAGACCAACTATCAGTCACGGCTACATGACCTCCTTTATATTGAGGAAATAGCACAGTATAAGGAAGTTAGCAAGTAAGTGATACCTTTATAAAAATATTTCTTAGATATTTATTGCTGTCCTATTAAAATGAGGATGGCAACTTTTTTCATTAAACCTACATACTTTTTTAAGATACTAAGTCTTCCTGTTTCTTTGAAATTAATTTGAATATGAGTCTGGAAATAGTAACTTTTGATAAGGTCACTAGCGCTTAACAAATATAATTTACTGATAACTCATTTAAAACAAATAGTATGTATCAGTCTATGCTTACAGTTGGAGGCACTAAACAGCTATTTTCCAATGTTTTGTTAATATCTGGATAATAGTTGTAGTTTCTTGGCTCTCTATACAAAAAGATATTAATAATAGGAGTCATATTTTTGTTCCTTGGTGAAACTAGGTTATAGCGAAGTAATATGTGAAATCTTTGTGTGAAAGATTGAATTGTGGGTGGATCAAACTCTGATCTTATGATGATGTGGCAGCTGACTTTATTATATTTATTCTCTGAATAGGCTGAAACCCAGGTTCTGAATCAAAGTTCCTAATAAAAGACATATACGCTGTTTGTTTTGTTCTAACTTTAGGTGTAGTGTATGTATTACCCAACTGGATTAGCTGCATGAACAAATACAGAGATAGGAAAAAGATGTGAGCTTCCCATGTATAGACTCTTGTGGGGTCTTTTTTCTGTAGTTTGGTATTTGTGGTTAAAAATTTTACCTGCACTCATGTGGTCTGAAAGAGTTTAAGTGTTGTACTACTCAGAATGGAAATTCAAGAAGGTATAACTTCCCTTTTACCTAATTTGTTAGCAAATTTAGTTCTATCAGTTACTTAGTTCCAAATCAGAAATGACTTTTTAAGATGAACCACTCCTGGAGCTACAGAGGTTCAGATGAATCACTCCTCTAGAATTTAGGAAGAAAATACTATGAGTAGTTGTATTTCTAATGCTTTTAAAGCAGAAAAACGGTTCCATTTCTTTTTTTTGTATCTCAGATGAAGGGCAGTATATTTGACCTATTTTTCTTCATATCTTTCATCGCTGCTGCTCTCTGCTCTTGAGCTGGAGTCTAACATATGGGGGAAGCATACTTGAACACTGTTTTCAGCATACAGAAATATTCTCTATTGTACATACTTATAATCAGGTTGACTTTTCTAAGGCTTTTTAAAACAAAAGTGGGTTTGAAGTAAACAGTATGAAATATGATATAAAGCAATATTTTTACTGAGTGAATTTTCACATTGAGAATGACGCTGTCATGCCTCATAGGAAACCAAAGAGCAACATGCCTGTAGAAATGAAAGAATAGTAAGTGTATTCTGTGTATAATGCTTCCCTTTTGGACAATATGGTGCAATGATAAGCTATTGCTCTTCTTTTTCTATCTAGTAGATTAATAAAAATAAGTTTTAATAATATTCTTGAAATCTTCTGTTTTGATAATGTTGATGACAGAAATATTCTTTTGATCTTGTAGCTGACCCACTTTATTGCAACAAGGCTCAAACTAGCACACTTTTCTGATCCTCTGCGGCTAAGATCACACACTTGGTATTCCCTAGTGAAGTGTCAGGGTTGCAAGCCTAGAAATGGGCCCAGAAATACAAATGCAAGTGAGTTGTAATACCTCTGAAGTGGTGCCATGAGTAAAAATGTTGATGAGCTGCTGCTCTCTAATGGGTCTGTGTACGTATATTGTAAAAGTAGTAGGGTTATCAGCGTGGTCTCTTATGACAAGACTGGAATAACATGAATGTCTGCAGTTCAGATTGGAGTGAATTGTTAAGTTTTAAGAATGTTGATGGTTTCTTACTTTCTTGGAAAAGACTGTTTCAGACTTCACGTGGGATCACCTGAGTGGTGAATACTGAAAAGTATTGGATGAAGGTTGCAGTGGCTTTAAAAAATCTTGAACTCAGTTATAAGGGAGTTCATTCTGGATAGTCTCAGAGAGCTTTGCTTTTAAATCATGTTTATTCTGATATTTCAGGAGGCATTTATAAAAATGGCTCAACATGAGTACATCAGAAAATGGAGTATTAAAGGAGCCACTGCTGTCTAGTTTCCAAATGCAAACATACTCTAGAAGTAAAAGCAAAACAATGTTCTGATCTAGATGCTAGTTTGGTTTTGGAAAGGTTTGCCCTACATACATCTGTTGATGGTTTTAAAATTCTTCCTTTCTCTCTTGCACATTCAAAAGAAAACCAGCATATAATTGTTAGAGTGGCTAGAACTTACTGTGTGTTTTCTTGCACAAACATTAAAGAGTGTGTGAGGTCACATATAACTCCTCCTGTGCAGTACACTGTCTGCTACCAGAATTATAGAGCAGATTTATCCTCAAGGCTGTGAAAACTTAAGATATACTGGCTTTGATGGAAAATAAATTTGCTTTTGTCATTACTGCGTCTTATGTTTATCAATACATAGGTAGGTGTCACACTGTACACCCTGTCTGAGCTCTACATGTATAAATGTAAGAGCAAATGTGCTGAACACACTTTTAAGAAGTTGTTATATGGGGCTTTGTTCAGAGTGGGTTTATTTGCCTTCTGGGAATTTATTGTTTACATTGGTACCGGATAGGTTAATGATTTATGAAGTCTTTCTTTAATTTCTGTGTTTTTAAATATGAACAACAGGTGCTTTTTTTAGCTGGTTTCATTAAGACTGCAATTAGGCTGGGATTTTGCAGTGCTTAGGAGGAAACATAAGTTTTTGTTTGATTTGTACAAGCCTGACTGAAAACCTTGTTTTGTATCAACCTGCAAAGCAAGGGTGAGGAATGGATGAAAGAAGCAACTTTTGATATTTTAAATCTAATCCTTAGAGGATTTTGTAGTTTAACAGTTTGCCAGAAGGTGTCAGCTTACTCAATGGAAATTGCTTGATAATCTCTAAACTTTAGATTCCCTTTAGCACAGCAGATTCAGTTTAGTCATTTATAACGCCAATAACTTGTGCCTTGTCTCAGAATGGCAGTAATACTGTTTTCCAGCACGTTTTTACAATTCTAAATCTGAGAATGATCTGATGCATATTCAGCAGCATACAGATTCAACTTTAGGAAAGTTTTAACAAAATAAATTCCCAATAGCAGCTGATCGTATCTTAGTAATAATGCCAAGCTCTTGGTTACTGTGTTAAATGTTCTATATAGTATTTTAACAATCATCTGAATGAGATAGGAGCTGTTTTAGATGCTGCTAACTTGCTGATAGTTGCTTTGGAATAGTGCAACACTTGTATAGAAGAAAGCTTGGGTTTGGTTTTTGATTTTTGTTTGGTTTGGGTTTTTTTTAGCACATGTGGAAGGATTACACTTAATTCTAGTGTGCTCCCTGAACTACATGCTTTTGAGTGATTGCTTTCACTGAAGCTTGTGCAATTACCTTTGTGGTTACTGATGAACTGAACAAATCTGTGTTCAGTAAGAAGAGATCTCTTGCTTTTTGAGAGTGGAGGAGTGTGAAATTTGGATCTGACTTAATGCCCATATTATGTAAAGAAGCACCTATTACCACGAGGGGGCAAACTTATGATTTTTCTGCAAGACTCGTGATTTGTCAGATAAAAAAAAATATATATTTGATTGGTTTGGTAGATGTTTCATTACAGAGCGAGCTAAAATGTTGGGTTTTATTGTTATGGGCTTATGATTATTGACAATACAGGGCTTAAACGATAAATTACCAGTTTATTAGGTTAAAATAGAAATTAGAACACGATGACCAACAGATAAAAACAGAATGACTATGAGAAGTATTATAAGATTTTTTTTTTTCCCCCAAGAGATTTTATTTCATTTGGGAAAAACTTCGTTTTTACTTTTCTTTTCTGTAATTTGTTGCAAATTGAGGAAAAAGTTGCTGATGAGAACTAATATTGTTAGTGTGACAGACTTTTTTTCCTTTTGTTCTTTTCAAAACCAGATCGAAGCAATATGTTTAAAAAAACCTGCTCACTCTTGGAAGAGATTAGCATGTATTGGTGAGAGGTCAATAAAGTGTGCTAATAAGTCACTTTCAGGTGTTATGTGTGTGACTTCTAGAAAATGGTAACTACAACGAATGAATTTAAGTCTGTGATTACAGGAGGAACTTGCTGCTAATAGGAGTTCTGTGGATGGATGGTTTATATGGCTGAGCCTGTGATGCTATTCCCTCATTTCAAATAGAATTATCTCATTTTGATGCCTAAATTCTGATTTTTGGAGGCATTTTAATCAGTCCCTTTGAATTGTGGCTATAATACCAATTACCTTTTAAGATGTAGATTACCATCTTTGGTGTGCGGCCTGGAAGAGATACATGAAATAAATAAGAATCTTACTCTGTTCTTTGCTTGCACATCTCTCCTTGAATACCTATATATAAACTTACAAACAATTTGAATAGAAATTTGTACTGCTTTCGGACATACACAGCAACTCTAATTCACCCCAAACTTATTTTGGTCTCAGAAAATCTAGTATTTGATTCTCTTTTGTGTGGGTTCTTTTTTTAAGCTTCATAGATGTTGATTCTTTTGAATATATGTTTTATAGGCTATAATCAAAAGGAAAGTGTGTATACATTCAACAGCTGCATACTTATGAAGGACTAGTTTGTCTGTACTTGGTTATGTTTAAAAGTTATACATTCAGAATGTAAGGCAGTGGATCTTCAATCTGAATGCATGAAATCTCTGAATCTGAGAGCATTTTTCTGCACTGACTTAATGCTTTCTTGCTTAGGTTCAACATAAAAGTGCAATTGCAGATTGTAGCAAGCTTCATGCTCACTGGTGTTTCTGGAGGTGCAAAGTATGCCCAAAATGGACAACTTTTTGGCCGCTTTAAGCTCACTGAAACGCTTTCAGAAGACACTTTGGCTGGACGGCTGGTGATGACCAAAGTCAATGCTGTTTATTTATTGCCTGTCACTAAAGAGAAGTCAGCACAGACCCAAGGAACCAAAGAGAAGGTTTATGAAGCAGCTATTGAGGAGAAAACAAAGGATTATATCTTCTTGAGGGTATCCAGGGAATGCTGCGAAGAACTTAATCTTCGGGCAGATTGTGAAATGCAGGTAAGTCTGAGTGGAAGTGGTTTTGGTATAGGAACCGTTTGCATTTTGTCTGTTTTGGCTCCGCTCAAAATAATTGCTTGAAGATATGAAAAGGAATTTTATTATTCATCATCAAACACAGAATGCAGAGCGTGGATGAGATTTCAGATAGGTGAAATCTTTTTAGACATAAATATACATGTATATATGTGTGTGCATGTGTTTGTATCTCTAAGTCTTATTATTTGGAAAAGAAATTAGTATTTTAGCACTGTTACAGAGTAAAAATACATTTTAATAAATTTCATTGCTTGCAGATTTTTGCTGTGTATCTATCTCATGGTTTTGAGAATGTGATTTGTAAGTTGTCTTGGACATTGTTTTTACATCTCTGGTTTAAATACAAAGCCTTTTCTCTACAGACTTGTAAAGGAAAGCTTTGTCTTTTATTTTCCTGCAGGTAGGTGTTTGTGGGTAGTTCGTGGGCTTTCTTCCCCCTGACCTACCCACTCTCTTCCTTCTCATTCTAAAACTACTGAATGTGTTGCTTACTCCTGCTGCCTAGACTTTTCTCCAGCTCAGTCTCTCTGATGTGGCTTCCGTCATTCTGTCTATCATAGCTATTCTCACCAGAGACCTCAGGAACCTGTTCTTAATGAAGTCAAAGGAGGGAGTTTTCTATTCCTGTGGGTTTCTCCCCTCCCT